GAGATTTTTATATACAATTCTCAGATTGAAACTCAAAAAGTTGATTATCACATTTCATAGCAATGTCAATTTCTTGACTCAATGTATGAAGATCAGGTCAATTGAGCATCAATTTCTTTACTTCATATTGTAATCTATAGAAAAATTGGCTGATGAGTGCTACATCATTCCACTTGATATCTATCACTAATTGTCAAAATCATGAAGCATATAATATCATTGATCGATTGTTTTATTGCAAGATATGAATCTTGTTAGTTACAACATAGATTACATTATGTTTTTCATACATAGATCAAAATTCTACTAAGAATGCTTCCAAATTATCTAATATTGGATCACGTCATTCAAGAAAAGATGAAAACCATGATAAAGCAGAACTTGAAAGTAGTGTTACAATAAACTTGACTTGTGATCCTTAAGTTGGATAATTTTGAGGTTGTAGTTCAATCACCAGTTGTACCTGATTGATGAATCCTCGAAACTTAGATCTTATGCCATCAAACTTCTTATATAATCTAATTTTTGGTTCCTTGAAATTTGAATGATATTCCATTGTAGGAGTAGTAGTATGGCTTGGTATAGATGTTGAAGCAAATCCAATCATCTTTGTATCTTCATTGCCTTATAATCTCGTTGCTCCTTGTAGTGATAGATTGAGTTGATGCATTGCAAGCATTAACTCTCTCATTTGCTCTTGTATTTAAGCCATTGCACTCTTCATTTCAGCAAGCTCTACCATGCTAGCACAATAAATTAAAAAGAAATAAAAAATAAAAAATAAAAAATATCTATTCTCACAAAATATAATACTCAAGAATCAAGAAGAATAAATTTCTAGAAAAAATATTAGTTTAGAAGAGGATAATCTGCAACTTCTAATATGCTTATGTCTTATGAAGAGAAAGAGATAATCCACTCTTAATTAAGAAAGGACAAAGCTCTGATATTGTATGTGTAATCTTATCAATATGTCAAGGATACAAATTGAAAAAAGATACATAAACTTATGGAATCTGTATCAAGAAAAGAAATTAAAAAATAGAATTAAGTATGTATATTCAAAGAAGAATAGGAATGGCTATTGCCAAAGACTAGAAAACATAAGACTCTTCAAACTAGACTAACAACAAGAAAAGAATTGACAAGAGTAAGAAAGGCCTCACTTTTGCCTCTATATATGCTACTTAATTAAGAACTATGTGGCAACATGCTATAAGACCTCTAATACGCATTCAACTTATAAGACATATGTCTAATTTGCAAGGCAAGTTTCCTAGGTGTGTGCCATATGTCCAACTTGTACTACAAGTAGTCAACATGTCAACACGTGGCCTCTTTATTGGCCAAGTTTTCAACCTATCAATCACCTATAGACATGTATAAAGGCAAAGTTGTATTTATGAAGCTTCTAGGAAGGTTTTCATAAGATATTATCATATTTATCTACTTTGACTTACTTCTACCTATTCTTATTATCTAGATAATTATTAGGGTAAATATATATGTTCGTGATAATGTGTTTGGATTTTGTATAATATAGGTATAAGTCTTTTTGGTAATATCAAATCTTTTCTTACTCAATATGAAGATTAAAATATATCATATTAATTTGTATAGATTTTGGGCTTAATGAATAGGCTTTTAAAAATTTAGAGGGTGTTGCTATGACCTAACTTGTATTTCTTCAATTAAATCTTTATTTTTGGCATCTTTCAAAGAATTGATTTTTGTATACAACAGCTTGAGCAATAAATTGCTCTAATGAGTTTGTTCATGATATTGTCAATAATAAACCTTTAATAATATTTTTCATCTCATATCAAAATCAATTAGTAAAGGCTTTATCATTTTAATTTACATCACAAGTAAGATTTTAGAATTTAGCTATATATATATATATATATATAGTGGCTAAATATGATCTTTGTCATAAAGATATGAATTTGGTCTCTACTATTTTTTTTAATTACTTTTTCTAAATAAAGTCCTAAATATTTTTAAGAATAAATTCAAATCATAGAATACTTGTGAATCTTTTTTTCATCAAAGATACAAACTAACAGAAAGTACTTCTAGATAGAAGTGCATATGTAAATCTAACTTGATTAAATCCAACTTGAGTAAATTTATTAAGGTATTAAAAAAGATTCATCATTAGATAAAACTTGACTTCTTGTAGAAATCCTCAAAACTTTGATCTTGTTCTATCAAAATTCTTTAGCATACTTATCTTTACTTCTCTTATACTTATAATAGCAAGACTTCTCAAATTCAATTGTAAACTTGATGTACTTGCTTCACTCAATTACATAAATTTTTAGTATAGACTTTGAACTTCATTATTAACTTATTTCATAGATATAAGAATACTATCTCCATGATTGATGTTAGAAATACTTGAGATTTCTATCTTAAGAGTATTGACAAGCTTATGAAGATTTATGATAGTTACAAATCTATTCTCACTTCTATCAAGAGTAGCATCTATAATTTTTTCTTCTATAGATAATTCAAATAAAGCCAAAATTCAAATTAGAAGAAGATAGTCCACAATCTCTAATATCAAATGAGAATTTTTACAAAAAAGATTAATTTCTTCTTTTAAAAAAAAAATAGTATTAAAAAATTAAATATTGATTCAAAGGTGGATACTTTGGGACCTTCAAAATACAATGTTAGAAGTAGAATAATCCACTTACTTCTAAAACAAAACAAGTATAATGAATTAACACTCTTGTTAAATTGTCAAGGATATGAATTTCAAATAAATAAAAACTCAATACATTCTTATGTCATACAAAAAAAGTAAATATTTACTCAAATCTATTATTGTATTGAAACTAAAATAGTTATTACCAAAGAAAAGAAGACTAAAAAATCTTGAAACAAGACTAAGAACTAAAAAGGTATTGATAAGAATAAAAAAGACTTCATTCTTATTTCCATATATACTATCTCACTAGCAGCTATGTGATGACATTCTATAGGACTTTCAATACATGTTTAACTTATGAAACACATGTTTTAACTTGCAAGGCAAGTTTTCTATATGTATGCTACATAATTAACTTATACCACAAGCCACTAATATGTGCAACACATGGCTAACTTGTTGGCTAAGTTTTTAACCTACCAATCAATTACAAATATATGTAATATCAAAGTCTTGTCTATGAAGCTTCTAGGAAGCTTTTCTATAAGATATCATCAAATTTATCTTCTTTGATCTATTTCTATCTATTCATATTATCTAGATAATTATTAAAATAAATATATACATCAGTAATAATAGATAGAATTTTTGTTGAAGTTTAGCCATGTCTTTTATTAGGTAGCCAATCTTGTGGTGCTTAGGCCATAGATTATAAATTCATGACTATTTATGCAAACTCTTTATAATATTACAACATTTTCTACAAAACCATTCTCATACAATCTTCTATCAATGCATTATATTATTCCAACTAAATTTATAAATCTTCAATTTCCTTAGAAATAATGACAATAGCAATTTCTTTTAGATTTTGGCTATGCTCAATAGATTTAAGACAACTAGAAGGATATCTTCTTGTATTCTCTCTTAGTTTGATTCTTCTATTCATCTTGCTTATGGATCTTGTATTTATTTTCCAACAACTTTATTCAAAATTTTGTCATACAATGCTCCTCAGCTTGGTTACAAAATAATACTTCAGCTTTTAATATTTACAAGTAAGAATAAGATAAAACTTTATAATAACTACAACTAATAATACATATTGATTTATAAATAAACTAGTTTACTACTAAAATTTGGAATTACATGGCCTTTGATCAAATACTACTCTATTCCAAGGTTTTATTATTTAGTGACATTATACTAATTTTTCTAATTCTCTATTAATTAATGTGGTATTTCTCTAATTCTTATTTTGCCTCTAACCCATATTTAAAATATACCTCCATGTTTTATAGCAACATTGTTTATGCTACTCTTATCTTCCTACTTATTGCTATGATCTTATGCCATTTGATCACTTTGGCGATAAACACCTATTTTTTTTCTACTTGGACCTTTGTTCTATATTCTTTAATGGCAATTTGCAAGAAATTGTTTACATAGAAGTATCTAATGGCTTTTACAGCTCATATATAAGCAATAAAATATGTCATATCAAAATATCAATATACAGTCTAAAATAAGTACTATATGCATAGTTTAAAAAGATTAACATTTTTGTTAATGATTATAATTTCTTCCAAATTGAGGCTAATTACAGCTTGTACTATCTTTAAAAAGAAGAAAGGTCACATTGTTGATTATCAATATTAACAACTTTTTTTTTACAAACTCAAATCCTACTAATATTTCTTAAATTAAAATCTTATTCATGCGAAAATTTGAAATGATAAATGTATATAAATATAGTTTTTAAATGGACATAGAATTTATTCAATGATGAAAAAGAATATTTTTGTTTGAAAAGGCCTACACAACCTAAATTTTGAAGTGATTTGAAATTAAACAAAATACACCACTTTTTTGACAATAATAGTCAAAAGATTTAAGTTAGGCAAATAAAATTAAACTTACTATTGATTGATATCAAACGGTTCTAAAAGCTAGTAGATATACAAATTTATCTTAATAATATAGAATCAATTTTTTTATTCGTAACAAATACATTAAACAAGTTTATGCATAGTGTTTGAATTTTACATCTATAGGTGACAAATCAAATCCTCCATTATATCAAAGACTCAATTGAACTCAATATCTTCTAAAAAACCGATTGTAGCCCTAGAATAATGGAGTTTATTAATTTGGATTGAAAAAATTATAAGATGAATTGCAAGTCAATCATTAAATAGGTATTTAATTTTGCTAGAGGTCTTATCTCTTAGGCATTAAAAGACAAAATATAACAGCCATATCATCAACTAATGCCAAAACTAGAGCCATATCATCAACTAATGCCAAAACTAGAGCCCTTACCAAAGGCATCAAAGAAACCATATGAATAAAAATAATATCCTCAAGGTTCTATAGGATAAAACCAAATCCAATAGCATTATTTTGCAACAACTAGAATAACTCTAACTTAGCTAGAAATCTCATTTTCTACAATAAAGTCAAAAATCAGGGAAATATAGCTAGATTATATACAAAAAAAATGTCCTCACAAATATTGTAGATTTTTTCTATTTTCTAATCCAAGATCAAGTTTCAAATATTTTTACTAAAGGTTTAGACAAATAGAGTTTCACAAAACTAAGAAATAAATTAGATATTCAAAGTCTAAACTCAATAGGTAGCTAGTAACAAACGACTCAGCACCACGTAGAAATCCTAAAAATCTATTACAGATTTCTCTGCCTCCTACAGGACCTTAAAATTCCTATATTCAGCACCTTTGAATCATATCACTTGTTTCCGCCCAGCTATAGCTGATGCAAGGGTGACGACCTCGTCACTCAACATAGTACTACTTCAAACCTCATGCGACCCTCAACTCTTGGTACTACCTCTTTGAACATTCAGCCTAGTGGTGCAGTTGAACTGCCTCACTTGATGACGAGCAATGCAGCCATGCAAAGGCCAACTCAAAACACTAGCAACTCACCCATTAAAAAGTCACCACGAGATATCACAGTCCCAGAAAGATCACCTAAATTTGCAGCCGCAAACACAACAAATTAATGACGTAGTCTACCACTTCCAAACCAGGACAATCATGAGATCCTATCACGACAATAGATTGAAACATCCTTATCACAGACCACTTTGTCCCCCGTAAAACACACCTTCGCCCATGCTCTCCCCACTCTTGGCCATGAGTCTCCACCATTGTTCCAAGTTGACGTGAATACTCCGCCTCCTCTCGATAGTTGAAAATTCAGTGATCACCTCGGCTTGTATCCTATTATGGGTGTATCCAAGTGAGCGGGCGTGTCAGATACACCCCATCTGTACTGCTCCCTGTCACCATATCAACTTCTGTCTCTGGGTCTCAATGGCGAGTATTTGTATCCCCCTTCTGGGACTCGACAACTCGTGAATCCAAAATCTGTGCTTGTGACAACGCCCATTATGTGTTTCTGAATTCTGTGTTCTGTCATTGTGTGTCTGTACTCCGCCAAATCTGTGCACTTTCACCCTCGAGACTCACGTGACCCCACGACGTCGCTGCACATGGTTATCCTAGGACTCCGCATTCCAGCGACTGCAGCCTACAGTACGCCCCCGTTGTCTTCATACAGGAATGCTTTTGTAAAAAGCCTATTGGAATGCGAGGTTGGCCAATTTTCAGAATAATTCTCGATATCATAACTTTCATTCGAAAAGAAAAGTATATTGGTGCCCAAATTTGGTGATCTTTGACCAATTCAAATATCAGGGACTCTCAAGAATCCTTGCCCTGCATCCCCGTACATTCAGCGGCGTGACTCATGTAGCGTAATTCTGGATCCCTGTTGAAATGGATGCTTACCGCCTCCTTCTTTCGCGCACGAATGGACATCCGATGTGCCCTTGCATTACAATATCTCCATCGGTGAAAAAATTAACTCCAACGCAACCAAGTTGGTGGACCGACGAGGTTTTACTTTTCCACAAACACCATTTTGAAGTGTGTCACAAGCACGCTGAATGTGGGGAGGGATCCATTTGATGCGGTTTCTTTTCAGTCCCCTTCACAATGCATTGGCTAATAATAGGAATGATTCCCACTCGTGTTCGAAAGATTCCAGCGGAGAGCACGTTTCAGATTTTAGAACGAGTCGAGGTAATCCCAACTCTTCTGTTTGCTTGGTTTAGGCAACGAAGGTAGAGGTGACTGTGCAGATGGTGACGTGGACTGGCGCTGTCTCGTCATCTGCCATATCCATTTGCTGCACGCTGTGATGTTTGTCCACTTCAGGCAGTCCCACGCATTGCTTGCCTGCCACAGCTTCACTTTTGCTTGGGGGTATCACTGGGTGCAGCGAGTTGCTACCCCTCCTGCCGCACCTAACACATGATTCGCACGGCTAATAATCCAGGTAGTGCTAATTATCAAGTCTCCGCATGAGTGGCTTCCTGAACCCGAAGCTGTTGTTGCCAGAATAGGGGCCGGGGTTTTCCCTTGCTAGAGGCAACGGAAAGCAGACTCGTGGATTGAAGATGGATGTGTCAGTTGGACATGCTTGTAGGACAATTCAACAGAAATGAGACGGAGCTCATAGTAACTTCTCTTTGTCAACGGCGATCTTTCGAGCCGTAATGACCACCAGGGATGGCCCACTTTAAACAAGGTATCCAGAAGGCCAGGATTTAAATTAATCGTGAACCGAGCATTCAACGGCCAGATGCAACACGATCGGCGAATCCGGAAGGACTTGTAGCTCCCGGCTCCCAATAGAAGTACCCCTCAGAGAACCTTACTCAGCAACTCCAGGAAAGGTGAGAGGCACCGCGTGCGCCTTGTAGCGAGGTTTGATCGATATTGGCGTTTGATCACGCTGCCCGACGCCATGATGCTCAACCGGTTGGAGACGGGGAGCCTTGCTTCGGCATTTCGTGGCTCCCGGGAAGAGTTTGTGGTGAGCAGGGGGAGGTCTCCCGGGCGATCGCAGTCGATTCAAGTGCGAGCCAGCTCGGGCGGTGATCCAGCAGGATGGCTGCAGACCGCCTCGAAGCAGCTCGGCAAGCTGAGCAGCTTCGGGGAGAAAAGGAAGACTGCGACCAGCACTTCCACTCGAGGACCCTCCGGCGACAACGTGCAGTACACGGGCGTTGCCACGACCATGAAGAAGCTGAAGGTGCTGGACCTGATCGACCGGGTTGCGGACATTCAGGACGACACCAGTGAGATTGTGGGAGGAAAGCGCGTGACCGTTCAGCTCGTGAGCAAGGATGTCGATCCAAGTAAGTGGAAAATCCGGTCGCGAGCTGTCCCGCCGAAGTTCCCAATCGGGTCCCGTTTGTGCTGTTGAACTGTCGTGCTTTGTGTGGCCGGCGTTTCACCCTGCTGCAGGAATCGTAATTTCTGACGGCTGTGGTTGGAATTGTTGTTGCAGAGACGGGTGAGAGCATGAAGAGCAGTGAGGTGATCTTCCCAAACTGGGCTGGGCTTGAGGGACCAGCTGCCTCGCTCATCGACTTCGTGCTCGAGTTCACCGTGCCCAAGTCATTTGGCGTCCCAGGGGCCATCCTTGTGAAGAACGCCCACCCGAACGAGTTCCTACTGGTGTCGTTCGAACTGGAGCTCCATGACAAGAGCAAGGCACATTACGTCACCAACTCGTGGGTGTACAATACCGAGAAGACAGGGGCTCGCATTTTTTTCCAGAACACGGCCTACCTGCCGGACGAAACTCCAGCCTCCCTCAAGGCTTTAAGGGAGCAGGAGCTTATCAACCTTCGAGGTGACGGAACTGGTGAACGACAAATCGGCGATCGCATATACGACTACGCGGTATATAATGACTTGGGCAACATAGAGCAGAACGAGAAATTCGAGCGACCCAACCTGGGCGGCAATGACATGTACCACTTTCCTCGCAGAATGCGAACAGGTCGACGCAACACCACGGTCGGTAAGTATCTTCGGTCGGAGAGGGACTCAGGGCAGGCAACAAGATGAGTTAAAGAGATATTTTGGAATCCATGAAGCCAGAGAAGACTAACAGTGAAAAGTCACATGCAGAGGCGAAGAAATTTCCCGGAATGGTGTACGAGACGCGGAAGACGAAGGGTGATTTTTACATCCCTCGCGATGAGGCCTTCGAGCGCGCGAAGATGTCCGATTTCCTGGCGGACGGATTCCGCTCCATCGGTCACTCCGTATCGTCGAAGGTGACCGGCTTCGTGACGAGGAAGCAGGAGTTCGATACCGTTGAGGAGATCAAGAAGCTCTACGCGAAGAAGGGAGAAAAAGTGGGAGGGATCAACAACGTCTTGCCCGACAAAGAAGACATCCCGGAGCAGGAGCAATACCCTTTGGTCTTTTTGCAAGAAGTACTAAAGCCAGATGGAAAAATGGAGCATCCGCTGCTTTATCCTCTTCCTCAGCTGTTGCAAGGTAGGGACTCGCTCCCAGTGCAGGGTCGCATTTGCAGGCTCTGTCCGATTTTCACACCAATGTTAGATATACGAATGTAGAGGTGTTTGATTGTGGACGTGTTGGTTGTGAGACAGCCGACGACACGTCCTGGAGAAGCAATGACGAGTTTGCTCGGGAATTTCTGGCGGGATTGAATCCGGTGATGATCACGCGGGTGAAGGTAATCGTCGTTGACCTCATGGGTATCGGCTTAGGGTGAAGATTCGTGCCTGTCGGAAGGTTGATTGGGACGCGGTGGTATTAGCGCTGACTGTGAACGTGGTCTCGATGGTCAGGAGTTTCCAATTAGGAGTTCACTCGACCCTGCGGAATTCGGTGATCCCACATCCGCCATCACCAAGGACCATATTGAAGGTAGCTTGGAAGGCCTGAGCGTCGAAGAGGTGAGTACATGTGCTGTCACAGGGTGTCAATTCAGTCCGGGCGCTTTGTGGACGTAGTTGACGGGCACTGTGATGGTGTTTGTTCTGCAGGCGGTGACAAGTAACAGGCTGTTCGTCGTCGATTACCACGACGCGTTCCTCCCGTTTGTGGCGAAAATCAACGCACAACAGAACAGCGCAACATACGCCACCCGAACACTTCTTTTCTTGTCCAAGGATGGAATCCTGAAGTTGCTCGCGATAGAACTGGCCCTGCCCCCGAAGACGGTCGGAGAGGAGAGGATCACCCGTGTGCTAACCACCCGAAAGGACGATCAACTTTGGAAAGTGAACTGGGAGTGGGAGCTGGCGAAAGCTCACGTCTCGAACAACGACATCACCGCGCACCAAGTTTTTAGCCACTTGTGAGTGCCGACCGTGTTCCTTTTACTTCGTTGGTCTAGTCTATGTGGGAACGAAGGTCAACGTTGTTGCGTCGTCATTTCCTTCTGTCATTTCTGCGTTTTAGTGTTCTTCCGATTAGTGAGAAGAAAGAAGCATCCAATTCCTTGAGTTCGATGCGTGTACAGCTCGCGGTGTCACGCGGTGACGGAGGCGGTGATCATTTGCTCGAACCGTAACCTCAGCAAGCTGCATCCGCTCATGCAACTGTTGGCACCACACTTCAAGAGTACGCTCGAGATCAACCGGCAGGCACGAGCGACTTTGATCGCCGCGGGTGGGTCTATCGAAACTCACTTCACAACACGCGCGTACTCGTTGGAGATGGCTGCCGTGAACTACAAAGACACGTGGACGTTCGAGTCGCAAGCACTGCCTACCGACTTGGTCGCCAGGGGCATGGCGGTGCCAGACCCGGATTCGCCGCACGGAGTGAGGCTTGTGGTGGAAGACTATCCGTACGCCGCGGATGGGCTCGAGCTGTGGGGCGCTCTGAAGGCGTGGCACAAGGAATACGTCGATATCTATTACAAGGATGACGCCGCTGTGCTGCAAGATAGTGAGCTCATGACATGGTGGACCGAAATGCGGGAGAAAGCTCACGAGGACAAGAAGGACTCGCACGGGTGGCCGGAGCTGAACTCGAAGGAAGCTCTCGTGGACATTTTGACGACTGTTATTTGGATACCTTCGTGCCTGCATGCGGCTGTCAATTTCGGCCAGTACGACTTCGCGGGATTCATGCCGCACCATCCCACACTCACCCGACGCCTGCTTCCGGAGCACGGCAACGAGAAGGACAAAGCAGACTTCAACAAGAATCCGGAGAAGTATTATCTGACATCCATCTCCAACATCGACTCCACCACAACTGCGATGTCTGTGTACGAGGTGCTGTCGGCGCACTGTCCGATTGAGGAGTACATTGGCGAGCGTCGCGGGAATTGGACCAACAACGAAAAGGTACGTAGAGACTGTTACCTCGAGTTTACTATTTATCGGGATGTCTGTTTTTATATATGTGAGAAACTCATGTTTAACTTGATCTGCATGTAATTGATCACTATGCGGACTTGTTTCAGGTGTTGGCCGCATTCAAGGGCTTTAAGGAGAGCGTAAATGAAGCGGACGCTGTGATGAGGGCACGCAATGCGGATCCGAAGCTGAGGAACAGAGGTGGTCCTGTTAAGATGCCGTATCAGCTGCTCCGGCCTCATTCGAAGCCTGGTGTGACATCCATGGGTGTGCCCAACAGCATCACCATATAGGACAGAAGTAGTCGTGGGGGCTGTACCGCCGTACAGAGTAAGATAAGTACGAATGCCTAAAGCCTGGCCACACAGTGCGGGTGTAGGGTAGTGCGAACAGATAGTAAGATTCAGCAATGCAACTGCCATTCGTTTTGGTTCGATTTTGTGATACGATAAAAACTATTTCAGATGACACTGGAGAGACCAGAGCAGCACAAACAATCGAAATATGCATTTATACGCTTAAGGAATGAAGTGAATATTACCATTGGCATTAGGAATTGAAACTGAGAGCTTGTAATCATAACGGGCAAGACATCCCGACATTGTACGTTACGCTATAGGTAGGATATTTGTGAGTGATTGAAGGCGCTTCAGTGGTTTCGATTCGGCGAAAGATCACTACCTCTTCAATATTAACGAGGAAACATCTGCAGTGCTTACAATCAAACAAATATTTATTTGTTGCACACCATTCTAAACCTCAAAGATGTTGCCAACCATCAAAACATTCCAATATGGTCCCCGTCATTTTAAACTCAAGGTAGCGCCTAAAAACAAAATACTCAAAGGTGACATATGTTACCCGGACATATAGTAAGATGGATTTAATTCTGCTAAAAATTAAAAAATCATACTGATAGTAAATTACATAACTCCTAACCTCCAGACCCTTTTCCTGCTGTAAAATTGTTCAGTAATACCTGCATTATAATCAAGTATGTTACAGTAATATGGTCAATGTAAGCCAAAAGTAATGTACATTCTTGGAATGTGCAAGGCGAAGGAATTAGTTGTTATTACTTATGGTACAGAAAATGGTCTAACCTTATATTTAAATCTGTCAACAGACACATCTTTCAATTCAAGATTTAATTAGTACTGCAACGTGATGTGTACGTTTGGAAGAAAACGATGCAAAGCGCAAGGAAGAGATATATTGGCTGAGAGAACAAATATCCAAGAGTTCGACTTTTCACTTTATGAATCACTACTTAACAAAACTATTCATACATAGCAGTTTGTTTATTTATGAAAATTAAGGTTTGTGTTTTTCTTTTACTTCCATAAAGTTCTTCAACAATCCATTTGTCTAAGCTAAAAATACTCTCCATAACTTCTCAACATATCATAAAATTTTCCTACATATGAAAACTTTCCTATGTTCCCAGTTAGTCCTGAAGTCTGCACCTTCAACAAGAAACCATGATCCATTCATGCCTTTTCTGTAAACAAGAACATGACCAAAATTTCCTTACTAAAGGCCATGGTCGAATGCCTGAGCTTTTTCCCAGGAAAACACAAGGTCTTTGATCTCCATTCCCACAACCTTCATGCAGAAGGACAGAGAGCTGATATTTTGAACGGGGCCCACATGAACCCACACACGAGAAGCTCGTTGTCCACCCAAAAGGATCATGCAAAAGTTTCGCGTATGAAAATATAGGGGCTGTCTGTTACTTTTTGGAAATTGTCAATTTCTTTGGCAGTGAAATTGTCCATTTATTATATCTCCAGCTAAGACCTTTTTGTGAGAATGGGCGATGCATCCTGCTTTCGAGTGTGATGGAGGAAAGATACCAAGCGGAGCGTGGCATTCCGAGGGCGATGCTGGACACGAGGCCTCAAGGCCCCGTGACCCCCATCCCTTGTTGGGACTATTAATTTAGGATCTCCGAGAGTCCCACGCTTTCCTCGCCTCTCAGCAGAGGGATAACGCTCCGCTCGCATTCGCATGATTCACCCTGCATGTTGGATGTCGTTTGATCCGTACCCCTTAACAGAGGTGCTTCCAGTGGGCCACTGCGTATGTCTGGATCCGTGTCTGTGGGGTCGTTTAAGCTGAACCAGCTGAGAATTGGTGGCATGCTGTGCCACCTCGGACGTCCCTCGAAATTCGCTTGGGGTGGGGATCATTGCGGAAATGCACTGTTTCTTTTTTTACTTCCTAGGCTTTTTGGGTTTTGAATCGACAATCCAGGCGTCCCACCCGGTTGAGGGCAGCTGGAGTTCGGTCCTGCCCGGACATTTGTTGATTGCGATTGCAAATGATAATTCTGCTTGGCACCTAGGTCATTAGGCCAGACTCATACGAAGTCCGCTTTGTGAATCGTCCTGGGAATTGAAGCTGGCAGCGCGGAGATAGGGAGTGCCTTTTTGATCAGCTCAATGCGGTGGGGTGGTACTAAACGCCTGCTGATAAAGATAAATCTCTTAGTCAACGTTGTGCAGGATCGACCGAGAGAGGGCTGTATATCCAAGAACGTGACAACAGGGTGGTCGAAGTCGGAGCCTTGGAACAGACGCTGATTGCGTTGGGCGGGCCGGTTTCTCGACGTTGGTTAGTGGTGGATACAGCGGGTTGCGGAAGAGATTGAGGGTCGAGAGGCAGTCCGAGGTGAACCTAAGTGCGCGGAAGACGAGGAAGAAGAAGTAGCTTGCAGCTACAGTCATGTTGCTGAACTTATTCAAGACCGGCACCGTTGCATCGACACCGGCGTGCCGCAATGGCGCTTTTGTGAGGAAGTCCAGCAGATGCGGAAGGCCGGAGCCGCTGCAGGTGCGCGCTTCAGCGAGCGCCGAGGGGGCAGGATGGCTGAAGTCAGCGTCGTCGAAACTCGGCAAGATTGTCGAGAAGAAGGTCCAAGGTCCCAGCAAGGAGGGTGTCGGTGAGACGGTTACGTTCAAAGGAACGGCCGTAATCGTGAAGAAGTTGAAGTTGTTCGACGTGATGGATCGCGTTGCGGACATCCAGGACGACGCCAGTGAGCTCAGGGGAAAGAAAGTGACTTTCCAGCTTGTGAGCAGCGAGGTCGACTCAAGTGAGTTGGGCTTTTCCCCACCTTGTGACAACGTTTATTTGTGTCAAAAATAACGTGAAATCATGTTTCATTGGATCCCAACCGATCGTCGTCGAGGAACAGCATCGCTAAGACGGTATGTTAAGAGATTGAGGTTGTTGAAGTATTGGCGGGTATGTGGTGAGTGAGTGAGTGTGTGTGTTGGATCCGGAATGGCAGGCACAGGGGAGCTTGTGACGAGTGAAGAGGTGACCCTCCAGGGCTGGCTCAAAATCTTCGATTCAATCACGGCAGAGAAGCTCAGCTTTAATGTGGAGTTCTCCGTGCCCAAATCGTTCGGCGTGCCCGGAGCCATTCTCGTGAGGAACAACCATCCCAACGAGTTCCTTCTGGTGTCGTTCAAGCTTGACCTTTCCGGCGGAAGCTCCGCCGACTACATTACCAACTCGTGGGTGTACAACACCGAGAAGTCGGGACCGCGTGCCTTTTTCTTCAACACGGTAATTGTTCGTCGATCTCAGTTCGATGCAAGGGCTGTGGTCGAGATCCCAGTGTGGGTGATTGTGCGATGGTCTCACAATCGCTGTTTTGGGGTTTGCAGCCACTGCTGCCGCATGAGACTCCTGCCGGGCTGAAGGAATTGCGCGAGAAGGAGCTCAAGGAAACGAGAGGCGACGGAACCGGCATGCGAAATGAGACCGAGCGCATCTACGATTTCGACGTCTACAACGATCTGGGAACGCCCGACGTCGACCCAAAGAATGTTCGGCCCACCCTGGGTGGCAGTGCGGAGTTCCCCTTTCCACGTAGAATGCGGACTGGCCGTCCCCCGACGAAATTCAGTAAGCCTCGTTCACAGCATATCCCTGACCCCCAAACATGCTATAGGAAACGCGTTAGTGGTGGGTGCCTGTGCCACTCACCGCTACAGGCTGTGGTGGGAATGTTTCCACTGTCTCCATGCTCTCTGGAACTTTAGAGCAAGGCCTACCTGGCTATTAGAACTGAAGGTTGCGTAGCCGCGTACTTGCTAGCAGAAACAGACTGTTCGAGTGGAAAGTGTGTCCTACACATGCAGTTTGAGGTGTCCGTAATCGAACCGGTGGGATGAGATGAGTAGCGCATTCTGACATTTCGAGAAAGTGGTGCGCAATTCTACTGTGTAGGCCCAGAGTTTGAGAGCCGGGCAGCTGACCTGTACGTCCCCAGCGACGAGCGCTTCGATTACGTCAAGTTGAGCGATAACAAGGCGGATATGGCTCGAGCTGCAGCCCACGCCATACCGTCGAAGATTTCTACCAAACTGAGTAGGAAAGAGAGCTGGTCCAGCATGGAGGAGATCAAAAACTTGTATTCTGCACCAGGCGAAGAGGTGGGAGGAATCAACAATGTGTTGGGTAGCAAGGAGGATGTGTCTGAAAAGGATCAGCACCCGTTGCTATTCCTGAGGGAATTCACTTCCAAGCGTGCTGACGGCAAGGATAACGACCTCCTGAAGTTTCCTCTTCCTCGGATCTTGAAAGGTACTCCCATCGATCACGCCGTGATTCCTCCAACCCCCCCTTGCCGTGCGCTGTCTCCCTCCAGTTGCGCTGCGCTAGGATTTTCGCTTCGGGCTAGGGTATGGAGAGTCTGAAGTGACTCCTTGAGGTGTCGAGATTGGGACTTGAATTGTGGCAGAGGTCTTGTTGCGTTACCCTTGATGTGCACGAAGTGCCTGACAGTCGTGACGTGTGCATCGTGAAGCCGATGAGAAAGCGTGGCAGACCGACGCCGAATTTGCCCGGGAGTATCTCGCGGGCTTCAACCCTATCGAGATTGAGCTTGTCAGGGAGTTTCCTATCAAGAGCAAACTCGATCCTGCGGAATTTGGTGATCCCACCTCTGCCATCACTGAGCAACACATTGACGCCAAATTGGAAGGTCTCAGCGTCGCGCAGGTACCGTGAGCCGACTTCGAATCGTTCAATGTGGATTTGTTTGGTTGTGGCTCAACTACCGGAGTGTGTCACAGTCCTGTTTGCAAACAAATAATTGTTTATTGTTTTCTTTTTCGCTTTCCTTTACCGGGACGATGCGCGCAGGCCGTGTCCGAGAAGAAGCTTTTTGTGGTGGACTTTCACGATCTTTTTCTCCCATGGGTGGGAAGTATCAACAAATTAGAGAACAGCAAGAACTACGCCAGCAGGACACTTTTTTTCTTGTCGAAAGAAGGGTCACTCAAGCCCCTGGCGATCGAGCTGGTTCTTCCCCCGAGGACTAAGGGTGGAGAGAAGAAGGCCCGGGTGTTTACGCCTCCAGCGGATCCCTCAGAGACGGATCACATTTGGCAGCTCGCAAAAGCTCACGCCACCAACAATGAAATGACTGTGCATCAATCTGTCAACCATTTGTGAGTGTCGCTCCTCTTTGATGTCAAGTGTTTCCGTCAAGGAATGTGCAGGTCTCTTTGGAGGCGAGAGGGGCAAAGTTTCTATGTGCTTGACGATCGTTAACTGATCCGCCTCGTTTGGTGCAGTACGCGTTGCCACGCCGTCACCGAGCCCATGATCATCTCGACACACCGTCAGCTCAGCAAGCTTCACCCGATCCATCATCTGCTGTTCCCGCACTGCAGGCACACGTTAGAGGTGAACAGTACTGCTCGACTCAACCTCCTTCCTGCGGGGGGTACGATCGAGCAGATCTATACGCCTCGTGAGTACGTCGTGCGAATGGCTTCTGCTGCCTACCGAGACTTTTGGACATTTGACTCAAATGCGTTGCCGAACGACCTCATCAGGAGGTATCAGTTTTGCGCAATCCAGACCATCATTTTTTCTTGACGGTAGTTTCTAGTTTTGGTGAAGTGATGGATGATGATTTCTCTAGAGCGACCGCTCACGCTTCTTTCGCTCGACTTCAGGGGTATGGCGGTACCAGACCCTAACGCTAAACACGGAGTCAGGCTTACCATTGAAGATTATCCCTACGCAGCCGACGGGCTTGAAGTTTGGGGCGCCATGAAGGCATGGAACACGGAGTACGTTGACATCTACTACAAGGACGACAGCGTTGTGCAACAGGATGCGGAGCTTCAGAACTGGTACAACGAGTATCGTAATGTAGGCCACGCCGATAAGAGAGACGCACCTGGGTGGATTCCAATGGACTCGAAGAAAAACCTAGTAGAAATTCTGACAACAGTGCAGTGGATTCCAACGGCCATGCACGCCCCTATCAACTTCGGCCAATTTGACTACGCAGGGTTCATGCCCCACCACCCCTGTATGTGCCGCCGCCTGATTCCAGAGGAAGGGAGCAAAGAAATGGAAGAACTCCGAGCTGATCCCGTGAAGTTCTATCTATCGACTATCTCCGATACGGACACGACAACCACAGCCATGGCGGTATTCGAAGTTGTGGCGGCCCACGCTCCCAACGAGGAGTACATCGTCGAGCGAATTCCAACTTGGACGCAGAATGAACAGGTAATGTCTCTCTCCGCTTCGCCGCAGAGATGCGCTAGACAAGCGAAGCCTTCAGACGAGTACAATTCGCAGGAAGAGATATGGTGCCCGTCAACTGTTCATCACTGAGATCTTTGTTCCGTGTGCTTTTGCAGGCTAAGGCCGCATTCCAGCGATACACGGACAAGCTGCGAGAGATTGACGATTTGATTGTGAGGCGCAACCAGGATCCGAATTTAAAGCATCGGTGTGGTCCTGCTCAACTGCCTTTCGAACTTCTGCGGCCATTCTCAACCCCTGGTGTGACGGGAAGGGGTATCCCCAATAGCATCACAGTTTAGAAAAGAGAGTCCGATATACAGTGTAAACCTTTCTCCCGGTGGTGCCCGCTATTGTGCAGCAGTAAGAATGACAAATGTGCCCAGTCCGCAACGTTTTAAAGCGAAGTGGAATTAATCTTGAGGCGACTTTCGATCATATCTTTCCCAAATTGACGAACAGATGCATTACATTAGTGACGGATGAGGTGGCTACTTTAAAACATGTGTGAGAATCCTTGCTATGTCCATCACATTCTGGCAACTAAGGAATCAAGGAAGCATTTTATTTCAATTAAATGATGTTGAGTCTATGGCTTGAAAGCCTTGTCCATGACTCGTTGTCGAGGGGCTTTGTGCAGCTTGCTTTTTTGACATATGCAAATACGCTTTGCTAAAATTGTTTGATATATATTAGTAGTGGGTGTGTTCATTTTACTGTATTAAGAGACTATGAGGGAGATATCGTGAATAAGTGAGTAGAATTAACGAAAAAAGTGATGTTGATATGTTGCATATTGTACGATGTTGGAGCTGCTAAGTTTGAGCCAACAATCATTTCATATGTGCACCAAAAACCTCCAAAGAAGTAGCATGCTATATCTAAAACCAATTCTAGTCATTTAAAACAATTTGTCGAAGGTCAGTTCATGCACATTGACATGTAGAAGGTCAGTTCAGTTCACTTAAAACAGTAGAATGTACATACCCAACAAACTAATATATATCAAACAATTTTAGCAAAGCGTATTTGCATATGTCAAAAAAGCAAGCTGCACAAAGCCCCTCGACAACGAGTCATGGACAAGGCTTTCAAGCCATAGACTCAACATCATTTAATTGAAATAAAATGCTTCCTTGATTCCTTAGTTGCCAGAATGTGATGGACATAGCAAGGATTCTCACACATGTTTTAAAGTAGCCACCTCATCCGTCACTAATGTAATGCATCTGTTCGTCAATTTGGGAAAGATATGATCGAAAGTCGCCTCAAGATTAATTCCACTTCGCTTTAAAACGTTGCGGACTGGGCACATTTGTCATTCTTACTGCTGCACAATAGCGGGCACCACCGGGAGAAAGGTTTACACTGTATATCGGACTCTCTTTTCTAAACTGTGATGCTATTGGGGATACCCCTTCCCGTCACACCAGGGGTTGAGAATGGCCGCAGAAGTTCGAAAGGCAGTTGAGCAGGACCACACCGATGCTTTAAATTCGGATCCTGGTTGCGCCTCACAATCAAATCGTCAATCTCTCGCAGCTTGTCCGTGTATCGCTGGAATGCGGCCTTAGCCTGCAAAAGCACACGGAACAAAGATCTCAGTGATGAACAGTTGACGGGCACCATATCTCTTCCTGCGAATTGTACTCGTCTGAAGGCTTCGCTTGTCTAGCGCATCTCTGCGGCGAAGCGGAGAGAGACATTACCTGTTCATTCTGCGTCCAAGTTGGAATTCGCTCGACGATGTACTCCTCGTTGGGAGCGTGGGCCGCCACAACTTCGAATACCGCCATGGCTGTGGTTGTCGTGTCCGTATCGGAGATAGTCGATAGATAGAACTTCACGGGATCAGCTCGGAGTTCTTCCATTTCTTTGCTCCCTTCCTCTGGAATCAGGCGGCGGCACATACAGGGGTGGTGGGGCATGAACCCTGCGTAGTCAAATTGGCCGAAGTTGATAGGGGCGTGCATGGCCGTTGGAATCCACTGCACTGTTGTCAGAATTTCTACTAGGTTTTTCTTCGAGTCCATTGGAATCCACCCAGGTGCGTCTCTCTTATCGGCGTGGCCTACATTACGATACTCGTTGTACCAGTTCTGAAGCTCCGCATCCTGTTGCACAACGCTGTCGTCCTTGTAGTAGATGTCAACGTACTCCGTGTTCCATGCCTTCATGGCGCCCCAAACTTCAAGCCCGTCGGCTGCGTAGGGATAATCTTCAATGGTAAGCCTGACTCCGTGTTTAGCGTTAGGGTCTGGTACCGCCATACCCCTGAAGTCGAGCGAAAGAAGCGTGAGCGGTCGCTCTAGAGAAATCATCATCCATCACTTCACCAAAACTAGAAACTACCGTCAAGAAAAAATGATGGTCTGGATTGCGCAAAACTGATACCTCCTGATGAGGTCGTTCGGCAACGCATTTGAGTCAAATGTCCAAAAGTCTCGGTAGGCAGCAGAAGCCATTCGCACGACGTACTCACGAGGCGTATAGATCTGCTCGATCGTACCCCCCGCAGGAAGGAGGTTGAGTCGAGCAGTACTGTTCACCTCTAACGTGTGCCTGCAGTGCGGGAACAGCAGATGATGGATCGGGTGAAGCTTGCTGAGCTGACGGTGTGTCGAGATGATCATGGGCTCGGTGACGGCGTGGCAACGCGTACTGCACCAAACGAGGCGGATCAGTTAACGATCGTCAAGCACATAGAAACTTTGCCCCTCTCGCCTCCAAAGAGACCTGCACATTCCTTGACGGAAACACTTGACATCAAAGAGGAGCGACACTCACAAATGGTTGACAGATTGATGCACAGTCATTTCATTGTTGGTGGCGTGAGCTTTTGCGAGCTGCCAAATGTGATCCGTCTCTGAGGGATCCGCTGGAGGCGTAAACACCCGGGCCTTCTTCTCTCCACCCTTAGTCCTCGGGGGAAGAACCAGCTCGATCGCCAGGGGCTTGAGTGACCCTTCTTTCGACAAGAAAAAAAGTGTCCTGCTGGCGTAGTTCTTGCTGTTCTCTAATTTGTTGATACTTCCCACCCATGGGAGAAAAAGATCGTGAAAGTCCACCACAAAAAGCTTCTTCTCGGACACGGCCTGCGCGCATCGTCCCGGTAAAGGAAAGCGAAAAAGAAAACAATAAACAATTATTTGTTTGCAAACAGGACTGTGACACACTCCGGTAGTTGAGCCACAACCAAACAAATCCACATTGAACGATTCGAAGTCGGCTCACGGTACCTGCGCGACGCTGAGACCTTCCAATTTGGCGTCAATGTGTTGCTCAGTGATGGCAGAGGTGGGATCACCAAATTCCGCAGGATCGAGTTTGCTCTTGATAGGAAACTCCCTGACAAGCTCAATCTCGATAGGGTTGAAGCCCGCGAGATACTCCCGGGCAAATTCGGCGTCGGTCTGCCACGCTTTCTCATCGGCTTCACGATGCACACGTCACGACTGTCAGGCACTTCGTGCACATCAAGGGTAACGCAACAAGACCTCTGCCACAATTCAAGTCCCAATCTCGACACCTCAAGGAGTCACTTCAGACTCTCCATACCCTAGCCCGAAGCGAAAATCCTAGCGCAGCGCAACTGGAGGGAGACAGCGCACGGCAAGGGGGGGTTGGAGGAATCACGGCGTGATCGATGGGAGTACCTTTCAAGATCCGAGGAAGAGGAAACTTCAGGAGGTCGTTATCCTTGCCGTCAGCACGCTTGGAAGTGAATTCCCTCAGGAATAGCAACGGGTGCTGATCCTTTTCAGACACATCCTCCTTGCTACCCAACACATTGTTGATTCCTCCCACCTCTTCGCCTGGTGCAGAATACAAGTTTTTGATCTCCTCCATGCTGGACCAGCTCTCTTTCCTACTCAGTTTGGTAGAAATCTTCGACGGTATGGCGTGGGCTGCAGCTCGAGCCATATCCGCCTTGTTATCGCTCAACTTGACGTAATCGAAGCGCTCGTCGCTGGGGACGTACAGGTCAGCTGCCCGGCTCTCAAACTCTGGGCCTACACAGTAGAATTGCGCACCACTTTCTCGAAATGTCAGAATGCGCTACTCATCTCATCCCACCGGTTCGATTACGGACACCTCAAACTGCATGTGTAGGACACACTTTCCACTCGAACAGTCTGTTTCTGCTAGCAAGTACGCGGCTACGCAACCTTCAGTTCTAATAGCCAGGTAGGCCTTGCTCTAAAGTTCCAGAGAGCATGGAGACAGTGGAAACATTCCCACCACAGCCTGTAGCGGTGAGTGGCACAGGCACCCACCACTAACGCGTTTCCTATAGCATGTTTGGGGGTCAGGGATATGCTGTGAACGAGGCTTACTGAATTTCGTCGGGGGACGGCCAGTCCGCATTCTACGTGGAAAGGGGAACTCCGCACTGCCACCCAGGGTGGGCCGAACATTCTTTGGGTCGACGTCGGGCGTTCCCAGATCGTTGTAGACGTCGAAATCGTAGATGCGCTCGGTCTCATTTCGCATGCCGGTTCCGTCGCCTCTCGTTTCCTTGAGCTCCTTCTCGCGCAATTCCTTCAGCCCGGCAGGAGTCTCATGCGGCAGCAGTGGCTGCAAACCCCAAAACAGCGATTGTGAGACCATCGCACAATCACCCACACTGGGATCTCGACCACAGCCCTTGCATCGAACTGAGATCGACGAACAATTACCGTGTTGAAGAAAAAGGCACGCGGTCCCGACTTCTCGGTGTTGTACACCCACGAGTTGGTAATGTAGTCGGCGGAGCTTCCGCCGGAAAGGTCAAGCTTGAACGACACCAGAAGGAACTCGTTGGGATGGTTGTTCCTCACGAGAATGGCTCCGGGCACGCCGAACGATTTGGGCACGGAGAACTCCACATTAAAGCTGAGCTTCTCTGCCGTGATTGAATCGAAGATTTTGAGCCAGCCCTGGAGGGTCACCTCTTCACTCGTCACAAGCTCCCCTGTGCCTGCCATTCCGGATCCAACACACACACTCACTCACTCACCACATACCCGCCAATACTTCAACAACCTCAATCTCTTAACATACCGTCTTAGCGATGCTGTTCCTCGACGACGATCGGTTGGGATCCAATGAAACATGATTTCACGTTATTTTTGACACAAATAAACGTTGTCACAAGGTGGGGAAAAGCCCAACTCACTTGAGTCGACCTCGCTGCTCACAAGCTGGAAAGTCACTTTCTTTCCCCTGAGCTCACTGGCGTCGTCCTGGATGTCCGCAACGCGATCCATCACGTCGAACAACTTCAACTTCTTCACGATTACGGCCGTTCCTTTGAACGTAACCGTCTCACCGACACCCTCCTTGCTGGGACCTTGGACCTTCTTCTCGACAATCTTGCCGAGTTTCGACGACGCTGACTTCAGCCATCCTGCCCCCTCGGCGCTCGCTGAAGCGCGCACCTGCAGCGGCTCCGGCCTTCCGCATCTGCTGGACTTCCTCACAAAAGCGCCATTGCGGCACGCCGGTGTCGATGCAACGGTGCCGGTCTTGAATAAGTTCAGCAACATGACTGTAGCTGCAAGCTACTTCTTCTTCCTCGTCTTCCGCGCACTTAGGTTCACCTCGGACTGCCTCTCGACCCTCAATCTCTT